TATTCTGGTTTCTATGTATATTTTTGCCCTTACATTCTATTTAGAATGTTTATTGAGACAAAACATGGTCTTAAGTATATAGCTTCCCGGATTTTTGCTTATATAAATGAGAAACCACCACCCAGATCTAGAACATTTGTAGCATCCTAGAAGCTTCCTTTTTTAGTTAATTACCTCAGGGAGCACTATTATAATCTATTATTGTAGATCCATTTTGCCACTTTTGGGATTTCATAAAAGTGTATTCTGTGGTTGCATTCTTTGTGTGTGTGTGTGTGTTTGCAAGCATTGTTTGAGATTAATTAGCAGTAGCAGCGGTTTCCTTTTTTCATTGCCAATCAGAATTCCATGAGTCAATATATCTCAGTTAGTGTATCCATTTTCCTTCTAATACTATTTTGGATTGTCTTTTGATGGACGTACGCGCCCAGGAAGGAATTAGCTGGGTCATATTTTGTATGTACGTTAGCTTTAGAATACTGCAATTTTTCTAAATTGGTTTTATTTTTCTTAATGAAACCAAGAGCTGGCACTGTTATTCAAATAGTTTATTGTATGTTTCATTATTATCCCAGTGTAAAAGAAGTATGATTTTGGGTCTTGAATTTCTTGTTGTTAATAATACTTCATGAATATTTGAATCTTCATGAAGTATGATACATTCTGATTTTAATTTTGTCATTTTACTGGCCTTTTCTTTTTCATAAGTCAGTATCTTCTAATAACACCCTTTCCTGAAAGGATCATCTGAGCTATGCCTTAGAAAGCTACTTTCTACAAAGCCATTTATTCATTTGAAAAAATAGTGATCAAATTGCAGCTTTGTGTGACCGGTGCCATCATGCTTGTATTAACTGCTTGACACTGTTATTGTAATGTATCTGCACAAGATACAGGTATTTCTTTATCATTCCATTCTAGTTCAGATCTGAGCAATTGCTTTACCGTCCTGCTATCTTTAGTTTTCTATACATGTTAGCATAGTGGAGTTGGACAAATTTGACTTTAATGTTGGAAGCATGTTGGTATTTCTGTAATCTTCATTTTAAAACATAGTAACACATGGCAGTTCATGTTTTACTATTGAATTTTTTATGAAACTAAGCATATTTTATTTTGTTCTATAGTTTGTCAACAATTTGTCCTCTACAGAAATAACTTAAAATAGTATGTTACTTAACTATTAAAATAGTATGTTACTTATTAAATGCAAAAAGGATTTACATGTAGTGATTATAGTTTTTGTTTAAATAAGCTTTAATGACCTCTCATGCTTGCTGGTTTAAAATATCTTACTAAAAATAATTCTTTTTATCATATACATAAAATATATAATTTTTAAAATTCTGATGAGTTTCATAGATTATGTATTGCTACGAAAGGAATGTTTGGGTCAAAAGAGACTGGCATATTCTTACTATCGTTGGTCAAGTCAGCTATATTTTAGAATATAGCAAGATAGTATTAACAGTAACTGAGTGCTCTCTGGAGGAGGTACATTGCGAGGGTTCAAATCCTACTTGACCTCGATTTAGTCTGTACCCTTCTAGTGTTTGGGAACCCCTCCCCCTCTTATCACCAAGCAATTCTACATTACTGGGTGTTCCACAATTTAATTCTGACACTACCCAGAATTAGTATCAGATTTTAGAGCTTAAGGAAGGACTCAGTCCTACAAGACTGCCTTCCACTTTAGATGCCAGTTGCAAGTCTAAGTTACTGTGTTTCTGACCCAGAGATTTCTGTGACTGCCTTCTTATAGGTTCAGTTAATAAACTAGAGTGGCTCACAGACCTGAGCAAACCAGTTTAACTCACTAGTCTATTATGAAAGGATGTAACTTAGGAACAACTAGATGGAAGTGATGCACAGGGCACAGGTATGGAGCTTCTGCGTTCTCTGAGCTTGTTATTCTCCTTGTATCTGCATGTGGCCACTTCTCTGGAAGCTCTCTGAACCCTAAGCCAGCAGTAGCTGACACTCTTAGCAAACTCAGTGGCAGAAGGTGGAACTTTCAGGACTCCACATCTCTAAGCTGGGACTGATGGGAAATAGAGACATTGTTGAGATTTTTGGCAGTTAAACTGCTGAACTCTAATTAAGCTACTGGGGCTTTAGCAGTTGAGCTGCTGGGCTTCTGGTGAACTGTTAGAGTATGGGTGTCTGTGGAGAAGCCACCATCTTGCCAAGTATGGCTTTGGTTTGGACCTTGGCCTCTGCTTAGCAGATGCTACCTGGGATAGGACACCTATTGTCTATTCATATTCCAGCCTGTATATCCTAGCCCCCCCCCCCCTTTTTCCCTTTTGCTTAATCTTTTTGTAAATAAATCCAATATTGTTTAATGCTGTTTCTACTTTTGATTTGTGTCCTGCATTTGTAAGTATGGATGAGGACCCACCAACATGATCACCCCTGGATTTTAGGATGCTTGATTAAATTATTGGCTGCTAATTGTACCAGTTTGTTGTAATTTGTAAACTTTTATGTCAAGCCTTAACAAGTTTCTTTGTAGGGATGATTTGTAGACTATGGGGAACATAGCTGACTTTGTGTTTAGTCCGATTCTTGGTTTTCTAAACAAAGTTGTCTTTGGGTTACTTTTATAGGCCTTTAGGTAAAAGCTTAACTATTTAAATTCTGTTTCAGTAGGTTCAGACAAAATGATTTGAAGCAAAGTGACCTGTAACAAAATCACAGTAGGCTAGCTGATACCAATAATAGTTAGCTTCCTGTGGCGCATTTCTGATCCCAAAAACTTCCACCAAACTTCTAAGTAAAAATCCATTCCAGTAGCTTAGGGCATAAGGCAGGAAGTAACCCTGAACATGAGCCATTACATGCAGGGTGCCAGCACACACATACCCACACTCATGCAGACTGGAATTCAGATATGCCAGTTTGTCTGACATGCATGTATTTGGGATGTGGGAGGAAATTGTAGTACCTGCAGAGAACACACACACACATGAGTAAAACATGAAAATTATGCACAGAAGTATGGCTTTGGTTTGGACCTTGGCCTCTGCTTAGCAGATGCTACCTGGGATAGGACACCTATTGTCTATTCATATTCCAGCCTGTATATCCTAGCCCCCCCCCCTTTTTCCCTTTTGCTTAATCTTTTTGTAAATAAATCCAATATTGTTTCATGCTGTTTCTACTTTTGATTTGTGTGGTCCAGGTAGAAATCACGTTTTTTTCCCCCCTCATCAGTGTTATAGTGAAATGACATTATTCAAAGACTTGCTGAAATTTTTGAGGTTTTTTTTTTTACATGGTAATGTAGTTATTGGCATTGTTTTACTATTTCAGGACAGTATCCTTGATGAGCTTGACAAAGAAGAAAATAATCATGATTCTGTATCTCAAGAATCAGAGTCAGAAGAAGATGGAATTCGTGTAGATTCACAGAAGGCTCTTGCTCTAAAAGAAAAGGTAGGTTAGCTTAGGTTCCTTTAGGTGTACAGGGTATGTAGAAGGTTATGTGGATCCCAATATTTCTTCAGTATAGTTTAGGGGCATTTTAGATTTTTAAGTTGTTGATTATATCCCTGTCAGGAAGCAGTGTAGTCTAGTGATTAGGAGTAAATGCTGTGAACCAGATTGCCTGAGTTCAATCCTGTGATAAATTCTTTAAATTGTCTACATCTCAGTTTCCTTGGTTGTAAAATAAGATGCATATTATTACTAAATCTCAGCTGTTTGTGGCTATAAAATGAATTACTATATGTGAAGTGCTTGGACCCTGTAGAGTTGTTCCAGGATTTTAGTAGTAGACTGAAGTAATGTAAACCCCATATGTGGTTCTTGGCTTGAATATTATATTCCAGGCCTTTATATCACTGGTCATCTTTGCTTACTTTTTGGAATATTCACATCTCCCTGAGGGAGACCTCACCATTTATAACACATTGCATTTCAAAATGTTATAACTCTTTCTTTTGAATTAAAACTTTTATAACATTTCTGTAGGTTATTATTGTCAATATAGGTATATAATTCTAGGTATTTTACTCATTTTTCTGCTATGGCTCTCAGACCATACTCTGAATGTGTAGGGAGTTTCAGTTTTTTTAAAAAAGGCCATTTTGCTTAACTTTCCTTTTTTTGTTAGACTTGATCATATGGCAAATAAACTAAAATGAGATGCATAAAATTGAATGAAAATGGCTCTGGAATTCTGTGCAGTATATATCCGACTCATGTCTTTTCAGGGCAATAAATATTTTAAACAAGGAAAATATGATGAAGCAATTGAATGCTACACCAAAGGCATGGACGCTGATCCGTATAACCCTGTGTTACCAACAAACAGAGCATCTGCATACTTTAGATTGAAAAAGTAAGGCTTGTGAATATTTTGTGGGTAGATGACACTGGGTTTTTAAAAAATCTTTCATGATAAAGTATGGGGAAAATTGAAAAATATGCCCATTTTTACAGTTGTCAATTATGAGCAACACTTTGATGCTCAAACTATGTCCTTGTAACTCATTTTACTTTCGTCTCTAAAAATTGAATAATGGTGTTCCTTACCTAATTCATAAAAGAGAAAGTAATCTGGATAAATTTTTTTTTTTAAAAATTTATTTATTTGTGCATACAGAACTGGGGTACAGGCCAGAGGCTCAGGGGCGGTGAGAGGCTTCACCAGAGACAGAGTGGGGAGCAGAATAGGCAGGTGGATGAAGTACACTGCTGAGGGGAGCAGCGGGCGGGTCAGGAGAGGTCTGCCATGCCATGTGGTCACCTCCGGGGCAGGCGGGAATCGAACTCATGCGGAAGCGGCTTTAGATTCTCAGTGCTGTGCTTTAACCCGCTGCGCCACCAGGAAGGGCCTGGATAAAATTTTTTAGAAATTAATTTCCTTCCATTTTTTGAAAACTGCATTATTTAATGTAGAGAACATCATTAGTGTCAATATTTAAGTTATAAGTGACCTTTTAAGTACGTAATGTTGAACAACATTATGTGCAGTTGTTTTATCATAAGCAGAAAACTGATCAGCCCATCATAAGAAGTTTTAAAAATATATATAACCAGTCAAAGATGACTTTAACTTTTAATTATAGTTTCATTCTTATTTGGATGTATATATTACATTGTGTCTGAATTTTCACTATTTAAACATCATATTTTTAGTTCTTTGAAAAGTATATTAATATCCTGACAAATTTTATGATGTTAATATCTACATTATATGAAAATGATTAAGAATAATTTTAAATAAAACGAAATGAACCCATCACTCTCTTTGAGAACTATAACATTACTGTTATCTTTGGAGTTACTTTGGTTACTACTTACCGTAACTGAGCCTTGCCTCCCTCCTAGTAAACTGTCAGGAATTGTGTATTTATGATAATTTTGATTTAAAAAATAAAGAATGTGTTCCTAAATAATTATATAGATTGCTTATTTTTGAACTTTTAAGTATAACATACTGAATGTAGTCTTGTCTATTCTTCAAATATTATATTGCTAAGGTTTATATTTTGCATATATAGCTGTATTTGTATTTTCACTATGATGTACAGTTCCTTTTAAGGAATATACCATTATATATCCATCCTCCTGTTGCTGGATTGTTGGTAGGTTCCTTTCTTCTTTTCCTTCTCCCTCTCCACACTCTTTCTCGCCCTACTTCTACCCTCCTTTCCTTTCACTATTTGAGCTAGTGATACTGTGAGCATTTTTGTACATGTTTCCTGATGCTGGGTCATGGGGTATGTACATGTTCTACTTCACATGGTGGTGGCCAGTTGTTACTTGTTCTGGGATTTTATCAATGCTGGTATAATTGAACTTCTTAATCTAGTGGGTCTAAAAATGGCAATTTATTCTGGTCTTAATTTATATTTAACAAGTTTCTAATGAGGTTGAGGTTGAGCATTACTGTTTTTATTCACCACTTTTTTTTTTGGTGAAATGCCTCTACTTTTGACCATTTTTCTGTTGGGTTGGTTTTCTGTTAATTCTTAAGGTACCAGTTCTGGGCACTAATACTTTATGTTAATTAATTCTCCCAATTGGTAGCTAGCTTATCTTCTTATTTTATGGAATCTTGATCTATGGAAATTCTTAATATTTCAATTTATTTTTAACAGTGTACACTTAAAAAAAAATGACTTATTCAAAAAGTTTCCTTTTGTGAGTTTGTAAGTCTCCTGTATTTTCCCCCAAAGCCTTTTATGTTTTACTTCTCATAGTCAAGTCATTTTATATATGCTGAAGACAGCATTCCAACTTCCTATCTTCCCATAGGAGTATCCAAAAAGCTCCAGTCCTATTCATTCAATATCCTTAGTTTCCCCATGGATCTACTATGCCAACATTGACCAGATGTCAAGTTTGAATGGATTTCTTTCTCTATTCTTAATGTTCTGTACTCATCCCGTAATTTTTAATCTTAACATTTGACCTATATGTTCTCTTCAGTTATGTCTTGTATTCTTCTTTTTTGTTTAAGATTTATTTTATGCCAACAGAACTGGGGTGCAAACCAGAGGTGCAGGGGTGGTGAGAGGCTTCACCAGAGACAGAGTGGGGAGCAGAACAGGTTGATTGACAAAGTAAACTGTTGAGGGGAGCAGTGGGCGGGTTTTAGGAGAGGTCTGCCACACCATGTGGGTCACTTGGGCCAGGAATCAAACTCATGCTGAAGTGGCTGTAGCTTACTATTGCGTTTTAATCAGCTGCACCACCAGGGAGGACCCAGTGTCTTGTATTCTTGAACTTTTGCTTAGCAATAAATTAATTTTAGGATCATTGTGTCAAACTCTTGAAAAATTTTTTGGATTATAATTACAGTTGCATTGGATTTATAGATCAGTTTGGAGAGGACTAGATTATGTTTTAGTGTCTTATTATATATGAATATGAGGTGTTTCCAGTTAGGTCTTTGGAGAGTGTCCTGAAGTTTTTTGCCATTCTTTCTTAATGTTGCAGTGTCCAGGATCTAATACAGTACTAAAAAAGAGCAGAGAGTCTTATCCCTTTATTTAAAGAGAATGTTACTTGTGTTTTGCCATGAAGAATTACTGTTTTTATTAGACTTGATTATTAAAAGGGGAGGTGGAAACAAGCTTTCAATTGGGAAATAAAAGTCCCCTTTTAGGAATTTCAGTAACAAATTCTGAAGTTTTGGTTTAATGAGTGATTTTCTTTTTAAACTTTATTTCAAATTTTGAAATTGCAGATTTGCAGTTGCTGAATCTGACTGTAATTTAGCAGTTGCCTTGAATAGAAGTTACACAAAAGCCTATGCAAGACGAGGTGCTGCTCGGTTTGCTTTGCAAAAATTAGAGGATGCCAAGAAAGGTATTTATATTTTTCCAAGCCATCATTATGTAATAGCTTAACAAATACTCTACAAGGAATACTAGATAGTCACAGTCACTACTTTCAGAGAGTTTTCTATATTTGAATAATGTTCATTTTTGCAATTTAAAATTGCAAAAATATTTTGGGAAAGAATGTGTTATTTGCCATCAATCAGACTTTAGTTATCTGTGTGACCAGGGGAAGCTTTCTCCTCTGATTTTTAAGTTTCTTCTCTTTAAAATAGGGATTAAAACATGTTTTGGCTATTGTGAGACTAGACATAATGCATATAAGCTCTTAACATTTCCATTTATTCATAAATTCTGATTCAAAAGGATCAGAAAGTAAAAACTATTCCCTGTATAGTATAAATCATAAACTCTGAAGAACACTGATAATAGAATTTTGTTGCTTCTTGGTTTTTAATAGCAAGTATCTTCCCAAGGGCTGGCAGAAGAATGTGGTTTGTCACGGGATTCTGTCAGGATTTATTTAGTTGTCCTGTGCGAGAATGGGAAATTGTAGCCTAATTTGGAATTTCTTAGTTCGTTTTAATTTTGCTTTTTAACAGTTGTCTACATGTCACATATAGCAAATATAATAAAAATTATATGCAGTTTTTTAAAGTTATTGCTACATTTTAAGCTTTTATTATTTTATATGAACATTTAAATAATATAATAATTTATTTTAAAATCATTTTGTGCATTTTCCCATCTCAGTTGTAATTCCCGTGGGCTTCCCATCACCAAATCCCCCGTGTGCCATTACCATAGTCCAGTGCATTTCCCTCCCCCCCCACTGTTTTGATCCCATTCCCCACTCCACCCTCATAAAATGTCTCTGGTATATAGCTGTTCATTATTATTATTTTCTTGCCTGGTCTGTTATACTCCCGCTATGGGTGAAATCATCCGGTATTTTTCCTTTCTTTCTGGCTTTTTTCACTTAAACATGATCTTTTCCATCTCCCTCCATGCTTATTATTATTATTATTATTATTATTTTTTGGTTTCTGAGTAATATTCAATTGTGTATATGTACCACATCTTTTTAATCCGGGCATCCACTCTTGGACATTTGGGTTGATTCCATGCCTTTCCTTTTGTAAATAAAACAGCAATAAACATGGAGGTGCAGGTGTCTGTTTGAATTAGTGTTTTTGTATCTTTTGGATAGATGCCTAGGAGTGGGATTGCTAGGTCATATGGAAGCTCCATTTTAGCAGTTTAAGAAACCTCCAGTTTTTCATAGTGGTTGTACTATCTTGTATATCCACCAACAGTGCAGGAGAGTTCCTTTTTCTCCATATCCTTGCCAACATTTGTTGTTGCTAGTTGTTTGAAAATGTGCCATTCTCACTGGTATGAGGTGGTATGTCATTGTGGTTTTAATTTTCATCTCCCTTATTACAAGTGATGTTGAACATTTTTTCATATGCTTGTTGGCCATCTGTGATATGCAATTTTTTAATGAGAACTAGTAAAAAGGCTTTATCTTCTATTTTACTCAGATTATGAGAAAGTGTTAGAATTGGAACCAAATAACTTTGAAGCAACAAATGAATTGAGGAAAATTAATCAGGTAAACCATAATTATTTAAATTAAATATATTATTTTATTACCTTTATTTGATTAAGTAAGTTTTCTGCATTGAATTTGTCTGTGGATTACTTAATACAGACATTTTTTAGCTTTATTTCTTTGTACCACAGGGTTTTACTAAATTGTAAGCTAGAGGTAGTATAATGGTATTTAAGGAGCCTTAATTATATTAAAAAGTTATCTGAGGTGTTTAGAATTAACTGATGCTTTACTTTTTCTTAGATGGCAGAATTATATTTTCTTTATCCCCTGATTTTTTTTAAAACTTGGTGCTTTGATTTTTGTGCCAAAAGTTTTGAATATTTCTTTGATTTGTAATTTTTAAGTTGCTCCATCTTTTTAGCTTCTATCTTTACAGTTTATAGCAAAAACAATATTTTAACAGTAAGAAAATTGTGTAAATTTTGCTATCAAATGATACTGACCAGTTAGTTACATATTACTTTCACTCTGCTGTTGATTCAGAATTGTAATTATTGCATCTGTTGAAACTTTGAGAATAGGTGACAATGATTGGGGGAAATTTGCTCTTAAATATGGCAATGGTTTATTGCATATAAAAACCTGTTGGTAAATATATATCAACTTCATTATAATTGTGAACTATATTACTATATTTTGTCTAAGGTAAAATAATAATTAAATATTACATTTGAGAAGTTTAGCAGTGTATATTAACTTACCTGTTTTATCTTTGAAGATCGTTCTTAAAATGGATCCTATTTCATAGAAATTAAAAACATTTTTTGAGAAAATAAGTGAATGTCTACCTTTAAATGACTGTTGTACTTTATTTGGAATAAAATACATACTAATTTTATTACATATTTTTTGGCTGTATAATTTAAGGAAGACTTGCAGTCAAAAATATTTGTAATTTGAAATGTGGCAGAAATTCTAATGTATTTGAATAATATTTTAATGTCAAATATATATGTATCTATACTACTTGTTTTATTTTAGATGATACTGTGTCTTCTAGGTTTTAAATTCCAAACAAAACTCATATCCAAAGGAAGTTGGTACAGTGATTAAGTCAAATCAAGGAGAGGAAAAACAAACTGAAGAGCAACGGAATAAGCAGCAGGCTGTCTCAGAGAAGGATCTGGTAATTCAGTGAGGGCTTACAACATAAAACAGACCCACTCACACAAGCACATGTGTGCATGTACACACATACACTGTCTCATATATATCCTTGTATGTTTTGTGGAGAGGTGGATCTAAGTTTTTGGTATATTATTTAAGTCTTCTTTAGTAACTATTAAAATTTTTTATAGTAAGAGCTCAAAGTTAAATTCTAAAACCTCTAGAGCCTACTAATTAAAAATTTGAATAATTGATGACAGAATGTATTTAAAAAGCATTCTTAAGGGAACAACAAACTTTTTATAAAAATATTTTTTTATTTATACACACAAGAACAGGGGTGTGGGCCAGAGGTGTGAGTGGTGGTGAGAGAATTCACCAGCGACAAGAGGGGAGCAAACAGGCAGATCTACTGAATTATACTGCTGAGGGGAGCAGTGGGCAAGAAAGGAGAGCTCTGCTGTGCTATGTAGGTTAGTTTTGGCCAGGGATGGAGCTCAGGCTGCAGTAGTTGGTGATAGCTTGTCAGTGCTGAGACTCCATCCTTGTGATATCGGGGAGGCCCTGGAACAAGTAACTTTTAAGTATTTTAATATATATTTACATGTAGTTTAAATTTAATGTCATTTAATTAGTTCATTCTTATTTACAAGGACTATTTCTGATGAAAATTTCTTTAGAAATCCTAAGTTGAGATATAATTTAATGCATTTGCAGTCTTTCATTGACCCATAGATTCCTTTTAAAAAAAAATTTTTTTTATGCTTATAAGAACCAGGATACAGGCTAGAAGTGTGGGGATGAGAGGATTCAATAGAGAGAGAGTGGAGTGCAGAATAGGCAGATCTACTGAAACACACTGTTGAGGGGAGCAGCAGGCAGGTCAGGAGGGGTCTGCCATACCATCTGCGTCACTCCCTGGGCAGGAATTGAGCACATACCACAGTGACTTCAGATAGCTTCATAGTGCTATGCTTTAAGCCATTGCACCACCAGGGAGAGCCTGACCCGCAGATTCCTAATAAATACTTAGGATTATTGACTGTGATCAGTATGACTTTAAAGAAATGTTATAATGAAATTTACTATATACATTCCAATATAATTTGGTTTTATCATTTGTTTGTTCTAATATCATAAGCTTGTTAGTGTTACTGAAGATTTAGTGGGCTCTACATTTTTACTTTCACAAAAACATTAAAGCTGTGAAATTCTTCTATCTTCTAATTTAAATGAAGACTTAAATATAAGACAATTAAAATGTGTTTTTAGATTTAAGCTTTGTGTGATATTAATAAGATAAAGATTAATGCTGCAAATACTAGTTTGTGATTCTTTTTCTTTTTAGAACCAAAACGAGAATAATACCACTAAATAAAGAACCCAGATGACCATATTTTAAAACACATATCATGGATTAGATTTTTAATAATTAAAATATACTTTAATTATAAATGAGCATCCTTGTAGTTTTCTGAAGATTTGAATTCAACTAATGGTTGTATACTTTTTTATTCTTCACGCTTCTTTTCAAAATGATAGGGGAATGGATTTTTCAAAGAGGGGAAATATGAAAGAGCAATTGAATGCTATACTCGAGGGATAGCAGCAGATGGCACTAATGCTCTTCTTCCAGCTAACAGAGCAATGGCATATCTGAAGATTCAGAAGTAAGTATTGGTTATATTTAGTGATTTCCAGGATGAAAATGGAATTTATCTGAAATTAGTATATTAGCTAAATAGCAAATTTAATTTCCTCTTGAGCATTAAAGTTAAATGAGAAAGGAAGAGTGTGCTATGTCATAAAACCAAACACATAATACATATTCAGTGAACATTAACTCTTACTAATATTTTCCTGCTATTAGTAGTCCATAAAGCTTTAGTTGTTTTATGAACTTTTATTCTGAATTGATAATTAAAAAAATTGTTTTTTAACATCAGAACCCTTTGGGCAAAGTTTACTTGGAAGTATTTTATTTATATATATATATAAATATACAAGCGCATATATATATGTACATATATATGTGTGTATATATATATGTGTGTGTGTGTATATATGCATATATATATACACACACACATATATATGTGCCCTTAATAAAAGGGGATTGCTATCATTGAAACTTCTGATTAATTTCATATGCAATGAAAACTTGGTCCTGTGATATTAATCAGCTGTTTCTGAATGTACTTGAAGCTCCAGATTGGAGAGTCAGTAAGATGAGCTGGTGGCAGAAGTTGTGTTTTATATTTCTTTGTATAACCTGTATGATACTTCACACACTAGTGACAGGATTTTGAAAAATCCCTAAAATAAATGAATTCTAAAAAATTATAGGAATTCTAAACTTTTTTTTCCTGTGGACCCCTTTGACTACGTGGTGAACTTCTCTCAGAGTAACATTTTTTTTTTTTTTAAAGATTTATTTATTTATTCATACAGAACTGGGGTACAGGCCAGAGATGCGGAGGGTGAGAGGATTCACCAGAGACAGAGTGGGGTGCAGAACAGGCAGATCGACGAAGTACACTGCTGAGGGGAGCAGCGGGCGGGTCAGGAGAGGTCTGCCACGCCATGTGGTCTCCTCCGGGGGCAGGCGGGAATCGAACTCATGCGGAAGTGGCTTAAGCTTCTCAGTGCTGTGCTTTAACCCGCTGCGCCACCAGGGAGGGCCAGAGTAACATTTTTAATGTGTAATTATACACATAAAATTACAAAGGAAACCAACTATATTGAAATACAGTTTTAAAAATATTAAAATTTTGAAAGTATGTTAGCATATTTCAAAGTGAGAAGCTACATTTAATCTCATTTGCATTCGTAGCAACAAGTAGAGATGTTTGATTTTGATTATGCAGAATAAAGATCATTGCATGACTTGCCAGCTTGTGAAAATTTTGATTTTTGCTATTGAAGAATATTGTACTGAATTAAAAATTATCAGGTTTGCAGGTTTCTGAGGTTTGATTAATACCAAGAATGATGCATTTATTGATAATAGGTAAAAGGTTATGTCTATATTTATGAGAACTCTATTAGTTTTATTGCTTTACTTGGTAATCAGATTCATGTATTACAGGTTAGCAGAGTTTTTTAATTAAAAGCATTATGTGAAGAAGGCCACCAAGGTGGTAGAGGAGTGAAGACACTTAGCATACTAGCTTCCTCCATGTACTCACAGCTAGATTGCAGCAGGATAAACCCCTGAAGGAAAAACAGACAACCACAGCACACATTATCAACAGTGGTCTAGTGGAAAGGGCTGGGGAAACTTTTAAGTGAACTGGGACAGTACAACCCATGAGAGGGACCATTGGCTGCTGTGTGAAAACAACACTAAGTTGGGCACCCCATCTTTGGGAACTCTTGAGACAGCTTTATACTGAATAAGATAGTGTCTAGAGTTGGTGCCCAGGACAGGAGAACTATGGAGCAGGGTGCAGAGGAGAGATTACTGATTTGAACCTGAGGCTCTCATCATAGAATAGCTGGAACCTGAGCTAACTAAAGAGAAACTGGTTGGATCATTTGTGTCTCATTTAAAGAGGCTACTCTTTAATGTCAGGTCTGCAATATTCACAACACCTGCTTTACTACTCCACTCAGTATTAAAAACAAGACAACAAATGAACAGTTGCATAAACTGAAAACCAAGACAGCAAATGAACAATTGCATAAACTAATTTAGACACCTACACACAGTGGGTACAAATAACCCTCTGTACTGGGAAGTAAACAACTCCTGGCCTGTAACCCTGTGTTAGCTCTGGTCCATGTCCAGTGCTGTACCTAGTGCTCAAAAGTAGTCTACACAGATTACATGAAGCTGACACAAGACTATATGAGACAGTTACACTGAAGACCTGGCCAGAGAATGGGATCACCATGGATCCCCACCACACAGCCTTGGTACCTACAGTACAGTAGAAGGCTTGAATCCTTGATGCTCACTGGAGGTGATCCTTTACTGCCCTGGTACATTTTACATACTATTTCCTGCTGGTACCAGTGGTCTAATTCATCAGGTGCAAAGGCTTTAGTCTGAAAGTTTATCCCTATTACAGCCCATAAAAACTAAAAAATGAAGAGACAGAACTTACCACAAATGCAGGAGGAAAAATACCCTCAAAGGACCCTTAATCTGGTAGAACTGCGGAACATGATAGAAGAGGAGTGCAAGGTAAAAGTTCTAAGAACACTTGTGGAGCTCATTATGGAACTTACGGAACTTGATATAAAATAGGAACAGAATAAACACCCAGAATATGAGACAATTATAATTAGAAGTAATTGAACTAAGAAATATGTAGCTAGGTTAAAAAATACAGTTCAGGGCCTCAATAATAAACAAGCAATTGAGAGAATAAACTTGAAAGAAAATTCTAAGTCTTTTTTGTTCATACAGATATGAAATTATTTACATGCATACTTTTTACATAAGAAACTCTTTATATGAAATTTCCTATAAACTCCTTTTTTCCAGTTGGTAATGTTATCATATTTAATAGATATGAAGAGGCTGAACAAGACTGCACGCAAGCTATTTATTTAGATGGCTCATATTCTAAAGCTTTTGCCAGAAGAGGAACTGCAAGAACATTTTTGGGAAAGTTAATTGAGGCCAAACAAGGTACAATTACTTTTAAAACAACTATCACTGATTTTGAGACTCCCAGATTATAGAAGCAGAGATTTGTGTAGCTTTCCCTTGTTCAAGGATATAGACTTGGACAAGTATATTTTCCTTTTCATGTTAGATAATGAATAAGTTTGCAAATTTGAAGGAATGCACCTTCCATAGTGGACCTGATTATCTTTTAATAGCACACAGAACTATCTGATTAATTTCCAATCAAAATTAATGATAAGTTTGAATTCTTGGTGAGAAAAGAAAAAGAAAGAAAAAGGCAAGAATGAAAAAGAAAGGGAGCAGCAGCTAGGGGTTAGAGGGTAATGTGAAATCAAAGAACCAGCTTAGTCTGTTGTTTGTATATTGTTTCACTTATTTCTGCTCTTCAGTTCCTTCCTTTAGTTTTAATTTAGTGTTTTTCTAATTTCTTGATATAAATACTACATAATTGATTTTTAGCCTTTCTTCTGCCTTTAAATCTAGTAGTTTCTCTCTAAGCCTGACTTCACCTGCAGATTTTTCTTGTGGTGTAAAACACACATCATAATGGTAATTGTATGTGTTATCAAAATGATAACAAAATTTATATTTGTAACCATTTTTAAGCCTGCAGTGGAGGTATATACATTCACATTCTTGTGTAACCATCACTGTTCCATCCACAGAACTTTTTATCATCCTCTTCTTAAAAAACTACCCCTTAAACAGAAATTATCCATTTTCTCCCCTCAGCCCTTAGTAATTACCATTCTGTTTTCTGTCTCTGTAAATTTGACTGTTCTAGGTATGCTGTATAAGTAGAATTACAGAATGTTTGTCACTTTGTCTCTGACTTATTTTCTTAGCTTAGTTTTAAGGTTTCATCCATGTGATAGCATATGTCCTAACTGGATTCATTTTTCATACTGAATAATATTCCATTATATTCTTTTAGATACTGCCTTTTAAATTTTTTTATTATTATAATAGTTTATTTTTACATCATTTTGTGCCTTTTTCCATCTCAGTTGTGATCCCTGTGGACTTCACATCACCAATTCACCTGTGTGCTATTATTACTATAGTCCATACACTCCCCCCACCCCATTTTTTATCCTATTCCCCACTCCACTCATGTAAAATGTCTCTGATATATAGTTGTTCATTATTATTATTTTTCCCCCCAGTCCTTATGCTCCTGCTATGAGTGAAACTACTTTTCTTTTTCTTGTTTATTTCACTAAGCATGATTCCTTCCAGCTCCATCCATGTTGCTGCAAAAAGCATGTGTTTATCTTTTTCGGTTGCTGAGTAATATTCCATTATGTATATGTACCACATCTTTTTAATCCAGTCATCTACTTTTGGGCATTTGGGTTGATTCCATGCCTTTCCTATTGTAAATAAACCAGCAATAAACATGGGGGTGCAGGTGTCTTTTTGAATCAGTGTTTTTGTGTCTTTTGGTTAGATGCCTAGGA